AAATAAAATATGCTCTGTTAAATATTATACTTGGTGGGACCAAAAAAGTAGTATAATCTTATAGCAGTAAATTGCCTAATATGCATATGTATAAAACTGCTCATTAAAGTATTACTTTTTTTTATTTTTTTTTTGAAGTATTACTCTTTTAAAGGTTTAATTTGTTCTTAAATTCTTGAAGTACCTAAAAGCACATACTTTATAGCACAAATGAAGATTTTAAACAGATTTGATGATAATCTGTCAAACACAGAACAACAGAAAGCTAGTTACTAAATAAATATATTTTGTTTTTACATTTATCAAACTTATTTTTATGACTTTATAATTTATCACTTTCTTTACTGAATTTTTTCATAAATAATTTATCAAGTAAAATAACATTTTCTACGTCTTTGACATTTTCTCAGGGAAGTCCTAGTAATTTATATGTTATATATGAAGAATTAGTATTAATTTGCAAATTTTCTCATCTGTATTTTAACTTTCTAATAGGTGGTCAAGAAGAATATGTCTTATCTTATGAGCCAGTGAATCAACAAGAAGGTTTGTGAAGCCTGTTGATGTTTTGCCATATGCTTGAAAAATATAGTCTTAGTTTGGAAAATAGGTCTAACTCCTACCTAAAAACAAAGTTATATTAGAGTTTTACTACAGGCAGTCCCTGGGTTATGTACAACCCCTAGTTACCCACCAATCCCTGTAAAGCCTATTATATTAAAAATTTGAGGTACATGCAATGGTTTGTAATAACAAACAGGTGCTACATTGAGATGCACATCAAAACATTATTATTACTGTATTATTATATTAAAGGTGTTTTCATGTATCTGGAAGTATTTCTTCAATGATTTTTATGCATAGAAAGGTACACTATATACTGTATACTAATACAGACATTTGACCCACTGACATTAGATGAGAACCGTACCTAACTGTTTCAACTTGCGTACAAATTTGACTTGAAGACAGGCATAGGAACAGAACTCATTCGTAATCCAGGAACTGTCTATGTTCGTATGGGTTTGTGAAACATGGTTTAGCCCACAGTATATCTAAATGTTGAAATAACTAGCCACTTATATTGGTGCTTTATTTCTTAAGCAGCTGCTTTGTAGTGTTCGTTAATGAGCATCACTATCCTTCTAGTGACCCTTGTTCAAAATCTTGGAAGCATCTTTGACTTTTCTCTGTTCCTCATCCCTCTCATCAGTTTCCAGGTCCTATTTATTGTACTTTCATATATTTCTTCTCCATGGCCTCCTTTTAATCCCTCGTAATTACCACAATGTTCTGATTCTCACTACCCTTCTCCCTGCTTCCAGCATGATCCCCTTCAATCCAGTGTATACACTTTTATTAGATCGTCTTTCTAGATCACTGCTGTGATTACATCACTTCCTACACCCAGTTTCTTTTTTGTCCTTCTTTGCTCTGCTTCCTTACAGTGGACACACATCATTAAAACACCATGCTTTGTGTTTTCATTTGTAATGAGGTGATGTTAACAATGTATAGAAACATTATCTGCTAAAATGCTGAATTTAACTTGGTTCAGTTATAAAGTGTATAATTAACTTAAGGAGACTGATTTTAGTTTGGGATTTTAGTAAAGATTTGTAAACTAACAAATTAGGTATCTTTAATTGGTGGTGAAGGGAGATGGAGAAAGAAGAGTAAAAAAAAGGATATTCTTGTTCTCTGATAAAATAAGACACATTGATATCTGTTGAGTGTTTATTTCTTTTGATATGAGGTTTATCTTTATAGTTAATTATACTCGACCAGTGATCATATTGGGACCTATGAAAGACAGGATAAATGATGACTTGATCTCAGAGTTTCCTGACAAATTTGGATCATGTGTTCCTCGTGAGTAACCCAAACAAACAAAACCCCTTAATTATTTTTCTAAATAATCTCTGTCATTACTTGTGGTAAAAATAAATATTCCCATTTTTTAATAGTTTATCCTTAGTTATTTTATCAGTTACTCCTTCATCTTCCATATTGTCTCTTTTCAAATTGAAATTAATCTGTTACGTTGAACTTTACCAAAAAATGGTTTAATTAGAAAATTGATTTTTTTTTTTTTTTTTAAATATTAAACACTTCCCCAATTTCTTTTCTGTTAAAGATACAACTAGACCAAAACGAGATTATGAGGTAGATGGAAGAGACTATCATTTTGTGACTTCAAGAGAACAGATGGAAAAAGATATTCAGGAACATAAATTCATTGAAGCTGGCCAATATAACAACCATCTGTATGGAACAAGTGTTCAGTCTGTACGAGAGGTAGCAGAAAAGGTAAGCATCAGAGTGATCCCAGAGTATAGTTTCTAATCAAATATGCCTTTGATAGTATCGAAGAGTGATGGGGTAGACACATTTAGTTCTTATTTTTGAAAAAAATAGAGGGTAGATATGGGGTATTGTTTTTATTAGCATTATGAATTCATTATACCATATTTAATTTTAGGTAAAAATGAGAATAGAAATGATAAGATTAATCTTTCTAAGAGGGGAGGTTATTATTTTAAGGTTTGCTAGAGATAGACCTTGTGTTTGGCCGTAGCCTTCTAACAGCTAACATAACTAAGGAACTAAGATCAGCAGGGTCCATCAGTAAAAATGAACTAGATGTTCACATGAAGTGTTTCTCCTGGTACCAAAACTAGGAAAAATTTTCTTCTCTGAGTCTTCATTTAAGAAAAAGACATTGTATAAAATCCTCAACAACACTATAATAGCAGCAGATTTTCGGAAGCATCCTTGACAATAATCTGATGATACATTGACTTTGACTTAAAGCAGTTTTATCATGAGACCAGAACAGTGTACTCCAGCTACATGGCTATGCATAATCATTCTTTGGGCCTAGAAAACAAAAGTCAAATTATTTTATACCTGTAAAACTAGTAGTTTAAGGTTCAGTCATGAAATATCTATAAAATATAAAGCAGAGTAATTCAGCATGTCAGTTTTTCCACCTATCAATGCTACTTTCTGTATAAGAGGTTTAGTAAATATTGATTCATTTTTTAAAAAATGGAAAGAACTTCAATGTCTTACAAGTGATGACAAGGATGTGGGGGAATGGAAAATCTTAGATGTTGTTAGTGTGGGTATAAATTAATAGAACTAATTTTGAGAACGGTCTAGAAATATAAATGCATAATACCCTATGACTCAGAAGTTCTACTTCTTGCTATCTAAGTAGAGACTCATACAAGAGGATCATGTATACAGATGTTCATAGTAGCAGTTTATAATAGTGAAAAATTGGAATCAGTAAAAGGAAAAAATTAACTTGTTTATTCATGCATTGGAATATAGTAGTTAAAGTGAATAAACTAGTATACTTTTAGGTATATCCACATTGATAAATCTCGAAATTATAATGTTGAATGAATCAAGTTGCAAAGGACATGTTGGAATCAGTAAAAGGAAAAAATTAACTTATTTATTCATGCATTGGAATATAGTAGTTAAAGTGAATAAACTAGTATACTTTTAGGTATATCCACATTGATAAATCTCGAAATTATAATGTTGAATGAATCAAGTTGCAAAGGACATGTACAGCATCCTGCTATCTGTGTAAACATTAAAAAACAGTCTGTATAGTTTATGGATACATAGTTAGTAAACGTAAAAACATGCATGGAAATGATACATCTGCTTCGGGTATATTACAACCACTATCCAGTGGTCTCCCTTTGGGAGGAAGAGGAGAGGGGAATAAATTGTAGCTTTAACTTTATTTGTAATGTTTTATTTCTTTAAAAAAAAATTACAAACTCATACCTTCAGCATAACTAGAAGAAAGATAATATCCAAACTTCAAATCGCCGATAAATAGAAACCGAGTCCCAGCATACTATTTCTTGTGTTCCTCGTCCAAACCTTGTAGAGTACAAGGGAATTCCAGAAAACATTGCATGGAAGAGAGAAGAAGAGCAAATTGTGTACCTAAGATTGATCTCAAATCATTACCAGAAGGAGAAATCTACCCTAAGTGCAAAAATACTGAAAGACTCATGGTAGAGTAGAGTAGGGAAGGGATTTAAGTGTACACAGAAGCCTCAAGAGAAGGCAGTTTTAGAACGGCAACTCTTCAGGGGAGAAAAGAGTAAAAAGAAAGGGAGCGGTACCCTTAACACCGCTTTTAGTACAAAACAGATAAAGAGAATAAAGGATATATAAGACCTAATCAACATAGTCAATATGAAGTGTTATACCCTGTTAGTAGAGAATATACTTTTTCAAGCATGCATGGAAGAGTCACCAAAAGTAATCATTTATTAGGTTCCAAAAAAAAAAAATACCAGGAAGTCCCATAAGGTAGAAATATTATAAGTAACACTTTAATCTCAATTCAGTAAAGCTGGAAATTATTAGAAAATAAAAAATAAAAAGAACCTGCCAACTGAAAATTTTTAAACCTGCTATTAACTCATAGATGAAAGAAAAAATAGAAAATGAAATTAAAGAATCTCTTTAAAATAATGATAATGAAAATGATACATATCAAAAATGTATAGGATACATTTAAAACACTGAACAAAGAAAAACCATAGCCTTAAAAACCTTTCAAATAAAAATGAAAGAATAAAAAGAAACTAAATCCCCACTTTAAAAGGCTAGAGAAAGAGAAAGGAAAAACATAATAAAAATAAAAGTAGATCATATGGCCACCAAACACATAAAAAGATGCCGAGTGTCATTAGCCATCAGAGAGATGCAAATCAAAACCACAGTTAGATACCATTTCACTCCCACTAGAATGTCTAAGGTAAAAAAAAAATAAAAATAACAGATGTTGGGTGAGGATGTGGGGAAATTGGAACCCTTATCCATAGCTGGTGAGAATGCAAAATGGTACAACTATTGTGGGAAAAGAGTGTGGCAGATCCTCAGAAAAACTAAAAATAGAACTACCATATGATCCAGCAATTCCACTTCTAGGTATACATCCAAAAGACTTGAAAGCAGAGACTCAGATACTTGTACACCAATGTTCATTGCAGTACTACTCATAATACCCAAAAGTTTGAAACAACTTAAATTCCCATCAGTGGATGAATGGATAAACAAAATGTGGTAGATACATATAATGGAATACTACTCAACCAGTAAGGGAAATGAAATCTTGATACATGCTATAATATAGATGGAGCTTGAAGACATTATGCTGTGTGAAATAAGTCAGTCGCAAAAAGGACAAATATTGTAAGATCTCGCTTATATAAAAAGACAAGACCAGGCAAATGTATAGAGACGAAAGTTTATTAGTGGTTGCTAGGGACAGGAGAGAGGAGGAAGAGGGGGGGTTATTGCTTATGGAGTACTGAGTTTCAGTTTACAGTGATGGAAAAATCACATTGATTAAGGGTTGGGCTGCATAGCCAATTAATGTAACCGCTGTGAATTAATTGTACACCTGTAAAAAGTTGAATTGGCGAAAGTTGTGTGATATATTTACAACAATAAAAAAAAAATAGTAGCTACCAAGGCTGCTTATGTACAACCAAACACTTCATGGGATTTGGTTCCTTGGTTTGGAGATTTAGGGTCATGGTTTTCTTGGACATCGAAGATAATTGGTCTAATAACATGTTTAGTGCTTCTCTTCTACCTCACCTAATTCATTGCACAGTGTGTGGGGTCTTAAAAGCTTGCAAGCAACCATCCAAGATAGAACAATTGGTCTCTATTCGCCTGGAGCAACAGCGGAAAAAGGAGAGTCAGGAATAGGAGGAGGAAATGGAATGTGTCACTAATTACCTCTATGAACAGCTGCCCTCTGCCGTTAGAGCAGAACTGGATGGTGCCCAGCTACCATTATGGAACATTTTTATCAAAGATTCCATGAAAGAATCCTGGTCAAAAGGGGGGAAATGTACAACAGAGTTCCAAATTTTCATAGACACAAGACTTTCTGGGCCATGGAGGCTGGGTGAACCCCTGAAACTATTGCCCTGAGATCATCTTTGAACCTTAAACCAAAAATATCCCTTGAAACTTTCTTAAAACCAAACAGTAGTTTAGCTTAACTAGTAAAAGAATGTCTGCCTTGAGCATTGTGCTCCTTTAAAATCTATTTATATGGGATCATGTGGACAACAGCAACTTGAAAGATTAAATAGGAACCTTAGGGGATAGTAAGTTTATGTTAATGGGAGAGGAACAACTCAGAAAAGGAGGGTAAGAATGGTTGCACAGTTCAAAGAATGTAACCAGTGTCACTGAATTGTACATGTAAAAATTGTTGAATTGTTGTATGTTCTGCTGTGTTAATTCTTAACAACAACAACAAAAATAATAAAAGCAGAAATGGTGTGGTATAAGTAGAAGGAAGAAACTAATAAAGATCAGAGCAGAAACTAATGAAACAGAAAACAATAGATAAAATCAATGAAACGTAAAGCCAGGTCTTTGAGAAGATTAAAATCATTAATAAACCTGTATCCAGACTAATATGGAAAAAAGGAGAAAAGACACAAATTACCAGTATCAGGAATGAGCAAGGTGACAGAATGTGCAGATATTAAAATGATAATCAGAATATTAGGAGCAACTTTATTCCACTGAATTCAACAGTTTCAATGGAATGGATAAATTCCTTGAATGATACAAACTACTAAAGCTTACTCAATAAGAAATAGATAATTTGAATAGTCCTATGTCTATTAAAGAAATTTATTTGTATTTTAAAACCTTCCCTGAAAGAAAACTCAAAGCCCAGATGGCTTCACTGATAAATTCTATGAAACATTTAAGGAAGAAGTAATAACAATTTTATACCTGAAAACTGAAAAGGAGGGAATACTTCCAGATTCATTCTGTGACTCCAACATTACCTAGATTCCAAAACGTGACAAAGACATTACAAAACAGGAGAACTACAGGTGAATATTCCATATGAACATTGACACAGAGATTCTAAATAAAATTTTAGCAAATGAATCTAATGGTATATAAAAATGATATCATAACCAAGTGGAGTTTTTCCAGTAATCTCAAGGTAGATTTAACATTAGAAAATCAGTATAATCACTGTATTAACAAACTAAAAAAGAAAAGCCATATGATCATGGTCTTGGTTATCTAGTGCTGCTATAACAGAAATACCACAAGTGGATGGCTTTAACAAAGAGAAAGTTATTCTCTCACAGTCTAGTAGGCTACAAGTCCAAATTCAGTACATCAGCTCCAAGGGAAGGCTTTCTCTCTCTGTCAACTCTGGAGGAAATTCGTTATCATCAATCTTGCCCTGGTTGAGGAGCTTCTCAACACAGGGACCC